AAGGCAAGAAAAAGAAAAAATGAACAAGATGAGACATATAGAAAAAAGAGAAGATAAAATACAAAATTTCAACCATATGAACAAATAATATTAAATATAATTGAATTAAACACTTCATTTCAAAGGCAGGGATTACCATATGAGAGAAGAGTGAGAACCAACTGTATGCACACACTTCAAATAGAAAGACACAGAAAGATTAAAGACCAGAAGGAATCTATTGTGCAAAAACTAATCCTAAAAAAAAGCTATAGTAGCTTTATTAGTATCAGATAAAATAGATTTCAGGATAACAGCTATTAGCTGTTAGATAAAGAAATTAAGAAATAAAGAGAAAAATATAGGTACTGAACAATTTTAAAAGGGTCACCAAGACATAATGATCCTAAGTGTGTGCATCTAAAAGCAAAGTCTCAAAGTACATGAATCAAAAACTCACAGCACTAAGGGGAGAAACGGCATATCCATAATTACAGTTGCAGATTTTAATGCATGTCTCTCAGTACTTGATAGAACAAGAGCATTTTTTTTTATCTGAAAAGGTAGAGATTTGAACATTATTAATCAATCTAACCTAATTGACACTACACTCAGGGAATACTCCTCCCAACTCGCTCTAAGAGGCCAGTTTTACCGTGATACCCAACTTAGATTATAAAAAAAGAAAAGCTCACTATTGGTTGGAATGTAAAATGGCATAACTACTTTGAAAAAGTTTGGTTGTTTCTTAAAAGTTAAACACACACATATCTTCTGATCTAGTTATTCCACTCCTAGGTGTTTACTCAAGATTAATGGAACCAACTGCCTATACAAGGACTGGTACACAAATGTTCAGAGCAGCTTTATTTGCATTTGCTCCAAATCAGAAACAACCCAAAAGTCCATCCATAAGTGAATAAAGGAAATTGTGGTATAGGTATCTATGCAATGGAATATTCCTATTCATCAATTAAAGGAAATAAACTACTGCTATATGTAACCATGGATGAGTCTTAAAACAATCATAGTGAGTTAAAGAAGCCAGACCCCCCCACAAGCACAAAAAAGGGGTACATACTGTAAGATGCTATATATGCAATATTCTAGAAAATGCAAACTCATCTATACAGAAAGCAGATCACTGTTTGCCTGGAGATGGGGAAGTGGTGAGTAAGGGATTATAAAAACACAAAAAAAGTTTAGAATGATGGATATGTTTGTTATTTTAATTCCAGCGATGCTTTCAAGAGTGTATACATAGGTCAAAGTTTATCAAACTGTACACTTTAAATACAGGCATTTTATTGTATGACAATATGCCTTGATACCATTTTTAAAAAGTCAGCAGAAATATTTATTTTCTTTTTTTTAATATTTATTTTCTTGATTATGACCATCATCCACAAACCACTGATGTTCATGGGGCATAGCTTATTCTAGGACTCTCGTTCCCTAGCCCTGAGAAGTCAGTTTTGGGAGTGATATTAAAAACTAAGTAAAATCTTGGGGAATTTTAGATAGAAGTGATCAGAAAATATGTTCTTGAAAGCAAATCACTATACAAATTACCCTAGGTCTTAAAGTAATTTAGATGCCTTTCCAAGAAAAAGAAGTTTCAAAGAAGAAAGTCACTTCTCAGGCAAAGAGGAAATAACCCAACATTGTTTCTCCAGTTCATTTAATAGTTGGGACTTTCTGGTATCTTTAATGTGTTTTAACAAAGGATAGGCATGGGAATTTATTTAAGAGCAATGACAACAAGTCAATCCATATAATATACCATATTATCAGAACAAAAGATAAAAGTCATAGAATCATCTCAATAGGTGGAGGAAAAAACATAAAACGGTGGCTTGTGACAGAAAATTTCAGTAAACTAGAAATAAAAGGTTAACCTCGTCAATTGATAAAGGTAAGGTCATTCATAAAAACCTACATCAGCTAATACTTAATGATGAAAGTGATTACTCTTAATGATGAAAACTGAACCCTATGTTTAGGAAAAAGGCAGAAACACTCACTCATTTCTATTCAACATTGTACTAGATAGAGAGTCCTAACCACTATAGTTAAATGAAAAAAATGCTTTAAAAAATACACACTGGAAAGAAAGAAGTAGAGCTATCTATATCAGTAGAGGACATCAGTACGTACAAGGAAAATCCTAAGAAAATGACCCAAAAAAGCTATTAGAACTAGTAAGTGGACTTGGCCAAATTTCAGGATACAAATCAATATACAAAATTGTGTTTTTATGTAATAGCAACAAATAATTGAAAACTAAAAATCACAATACCAAGAAACATAAAGTACTTAGAGATAATTTTATGAAATATGTGCAAGACCTTTACTCTGAAAAATAGAAACTACTGCTGAGAGAAAAAGACCTAAATACTTGGAGAGATATACCATATTCATAGATTGGAAAACCCAGTATTTTATGATATCTATTCCCTATAAATTGGTCTATAGATTCACGGTAATCATAAACAGAATCGCAGCTGGATTTTTTGCAGAATGTGGAAATCAGAAATTCCCCTAATATTTATATGGAAGAGCAAAGTTCCTAAAATTGACAAATATTCCCCCAAAAAAGGGCAAAGCTGAAAAATTGAGAGCACCTGAATTTAAGATTTACTATAAAACTCCAGGAAATAAGACCGTGTTGGCATAAACATAGACAAATAGATTGACAAAACAGAAACTCACGTATACTTACATATTCAACTGATTTCCAGCAAAGGATGCAATGCAATGCAATGGGGAAAGGACAACCCTTTTAATAAATGATGGAATCAGATGTCCATATGGGATACCATGAATTTCAACTCCTACCTCTCACCATTCACAGAAGTTAACTTGAAAAGATCACAGACCTAAATTCAAAGGTGATCCAATAGTTGAGCGTCTGCCTGCCTTTGACTCAGGGTGTGGTCCCGGGGTCCGGGATTTGAGTCTTGCATTGGGCTCTTTGCGGGAAGCCTGCTTCTCCCTCTGCCCTTGCCTCTGTGTGTCTCTCATGAATAGATGGATAAAATCTTAAAAAAAAAAAAAAAAAAAGCTAACCTTACAAAGCTTCTAAAAGATAATTAAGGAGAACAGCTTCACAATCTTGAGGTGGCTAAGACATTCTGGGTAGGATCCAGAAAGCGCTAACCATAGAAAAAATGGATAGATCAGACTTTATCAAAATAAAAAAAAACACTTATCAAAAGATACTGTATGAAAATCAAAGGGCATGCTGAAGACAGGGAGAAAATATTCGCATCATATGTGTCTGACAGACGACCTGGATCTAGAACATATAAAGAACTCTTACCACCTAATAATACAAACACCACAAACACAGAAAGGCCAGAATGCTTCAGACAATCTCTAGAGTAAAATAAACAAATGGCCAATATGGAGATGAAAAAGTGCTCCAAAAAAAAAAAAAAAGTGCTCCACATCATCAATCATTAAGAAAATAACAAATTTGGCTTAATTAACAGAATGACCACAGCACATTCACTGCAATAGCTAGAATTAAACAGCCCATCGCCTCCAAACATTGGCAAACATGTGGAGCAAGGAAAACTCCCCTCAACGCCTGGTCAGAGTGTAAGATGCTATAGAGCCATTTTGGAAGATGGTTTGTAAGCTTTTAAAAAGGTTAAACACGCTCTCCCCTGTGATCTAGCAATTTTATTCCCCAGTACCCAAGAGAAATAAACACATATGCCCTCAAAAAGCCTCCTACAAACACTTTCATAGCCGTTTCATTCATAATAGCCTGAAATGGGAAACAACTGAAGGAAACAAGTAAATGGCTAAACAAACAGTGATATTTTCACAAAATGGAATATTGCTCAGCAGCCAAAAAGAACGAACTGGTATCTTTATAGTTTTATAGTTTATTTTTTTTTTAATTTATTTATGATAGTCACAGTGAGAGAGAGAGAGAGAGAGAGAGAGGCAGAGACACAGGCAGAGGGAGAAGCAGGCTCCATGCACCGGGAGCCCGACGTGGGATTTGATCCCAGGTCTCCAGGATCGCGCCCTGGGCCAAAGGCAGGCGCCAAACCGCTGCGCCACCCAGGGATCCCCGAACTGGTATCTTTAACAAAGTGTGTGAGTCTTAATGACATTTCGCTGAGTGAAAGCAGCCAGACACACAAGAGTATTCTTGTATGACTCCACTTGTAAGGACTTCTCCTGCAGTCAGTGCAGATCCTTCCAGATACTCTCACCAGAGCCAGGGTCCTCAAGCCCAAGCCCTGGGTACCACCTGAAGCTGACAAGTCCAGCCCCTAATTCCACATGGGACCCATCAGCATACAAATCTCCAGACCCAAAGGCCAGTGCAGGGGCTAGTTCAACCTTGGCAAGCCAATCTTCTGTTGGATCTAGCCTAAATCTCTCATACCCTCCTAGCCCACATACTTGGAATAGAGCCCCTCTGACACGCAGGAGGGAAGCTGAGACATCAGTGATATTAGGAGAATGGAAAGAAGGTGGGGGTGTCCCACAGGAAGGGCCCTTAGAACTCGTTTCCTTACAGGCCAAGGGAGAAGAGAGACTGAGGGCAGCAACAGGATGGGGCCTGTCCAAGGTCATGCAACCCCAGAATCCAGCTGATCAAAACCCAAGGCTTCTGAGTCTTGGCTTAGTGCCTTTCCAGCTTTCCACCCCTTCGACCACCGAGGGCAGAGAGGGAACCGTCTTGTCTAGGTGACCAGGGCTTAGCCCGGGCTCGGCCATGCACTGGTTCAGACTGAAGTTGCGTCACGTGGCACTGGCTCTTAGGAACCACATGACTCAGAGGTGCTTAGAGGTGGGGACAGGACCACTGGAGGACTTGGAGGAGTGATGCCCCCACCCGGAGTCGACGGTAAGGTGGCCCGGGTCAGACCTGGACGCCCGGAGACTGCCCGGGCCAAGCTCACCTTGGCGTTCACCCTCCCCTGGCCAAGCCTCAGCCTGTGGCTTGCCCACCCCTCCCCCTACTCCCCCAGCCCCCAACCAGAGAAGGTACTCACTGATGGGGGCGTGTAAGGCCACGTGCTCCTGGTAGGGTGTGTAGTACTTGTACTGCTTGCCGCAGAACTCACAGGTGTAATTGCCAGTTTCTGTCCAAGGAGAGGAAAGTGTGGGAATGGGCGCCTGGCTCCCATGAAGCAGCAGCAGCATGCTCCCTCCCTCCAACTCCCCCCACTCCCCCCACCATCCTGGGACCAACTACAGTCAAGAGCCCACTGAAGTCTGACTGCCTGGGTTCAAATCCCAGCTACTCCACGTCCAGCCGTGTGACCTTGGGCAAATCTCTTAACCTCTCTGTGCCTCAGTCTTCCTATCCGTAAACGGGGTTAGTAATAGGACCACCTTCTAGGATTGCTGCGAGGATTAAATTCATATGTCAAGTGCTTAGAACAGTACCTGGCACACGCTGTTTCTCCAACACACCACCCCCAGGTCCCGGTGCTCAGGAAATGTGTGGTGATCTGAGTTGACCCCCCAGTGCCAACCTCTCGCTCAGCTCCTTTGCAAGCCCTGCCCTCTGCAATGGCCACACTTGGGTCCCTTCGTCTACAGGACCTTCCCCGCCCCCAAGCACCCCCACCCCCAGCAGGAGGGGTCACATCTTCCTCTCAGGTCCCACCAGACTTTATCTTTACCTCTCTTTTGGCACTGCCTAACTTCTTTCTTCTTAAAAATTTCTGATGTAATATTGTTCACTGGAGGAAAATTATAAAATACTGATAAATATAAATACAAAATTTAAAGAGTAAGAGAAATTTCAATCATCTGTCATTCCCAAACAAAGAGGAACGGCTACCCCTTAGGGTGGAGGGCGCAACCTTGCCAGCCACCCCAGGCCCCACCCCTCACTCCCATCTCATCCGGAGCAGGCTTCTCTCCCTGACATCATCTGTCTGGCTCCGGTGGGCCTTGAATTAACCGGCCCTGATCCATATCCTCTCTGTAACCTGGTGTATTCAATCGACAATACTTTGTGGACATCTTGCTCAATCAATAAACATTGATCCCTACTGCATTTATTGGCTGCACGGTTCCCACTGGACTTTGAAATCTGCTGAGCCAGTCTCCTACACCAGGGGATGCTTTAGATCGTCTCAAAATTTTCCCCTTACCAAAAAAAAAAAAAAAAAAATGCTGTGATCTATATCCCTGTAGATATGTTTGGCCCTTTGCTCATTATTTTTCATATGCTGCAAAATCAAGATTATTGTGCATAATCTTGGCTCATTATTTCCTCAGAATAAACTAAGGGTATGCATTTTTAAGGCTTTTGTTAACCAGAGCACCAATTACTTATATCAACAGGTTGGACCAGGGGCATTTGGGTTGCTCAGATGGTTAAGCTTCTGCCTTCAGTTCAGGTCATGATCCAGGGGTCCTAGGATTGGGTCTCATGGCGGTTCCCACCTCAATGGAGAGTCTGCTTTCTCCCTGTGCCTCTCTTTTCCCTGGCTTGTGCTCTGTCTCCTTCTCTCGAAGGAGCAAGTAAAATCTTTTTAAAAAACAAACAAAAGTTGGACCAATTCTCATACCAATCAGAAAGATGCGTATTGGGGGAACTATCCTGCACTGCCACTTTCATTTTGTATTTGTTTGAGTTTTAAGGAAACTGACCATTTTTCATGTTTAATTCACTGCAGTTTTTTTTGTGACTTTCCCATTTGTGTTCACAGCCAATGTTCCCACGGGCATATTTTTTTTAATTGCCAAGAACTCTGTAGACTAAGGACATCAACAATTTTGTTCTATGTATTACAAGTATTTTTTTTCACAACTGTGTGGTTTTTAAATTCTGTGTATGTTTTTTCTCTCAATATTGACTTAGAGGACATTTTCATAAGTAACTTTTATAACTGATTCGTGAACACTGGAAAAATATATACTATTTGCCATTGATAGGCTTCAAAGTTCTTAGACCAGCTATACTAATTATGTTTTTCAAACCCTATATTCCTATTTGTCCATGTGCTCTATTAAAGACTGAATGTTGTGATCAATCCTTCTTTTTTTGGGACGCCTAGGTGGCTCAGTGGTTGAGCGTTTGCCTTCGGCCTAGGGTGTGATCCTAGGGTCCAGGGATCAAGTCCCATATTGGGCTCCCCGGCAGGGAGCCTGCGTCTCCCTCTGCCTGTCTCTGCCTCTCTCTCTCTTTCATGAATAAATAAAATCTTTAAAAAAAAAACTTTTTAAAATAAAAATAAAATAAAAAGGTAGTTGGTAAATGCCAGCACAAAATGCCGAGGAAAAGCAGTCATGGTTCCTGCCGTCAAGGAGCTTACAGTCTGGAAAAGGAGACAGAAAAACCAAATAATCACACACAAACTTAAACCTGCAGCCACGATATGTGCTCTTAAAAGAGACATTTATGGTGCTATGAAATCCTAACAAGGAATTCAATTTAGTTAAGGAAGCAAGAGCAAGTTCCCTGAGAAAGATAAGAGTAAAAGATGAAGAATTAACTAGGTGTGTCTCTAATAAATCATTATTTCAAATTAACCAGAGAGCCTTTGTCTTCTAATAAAAGAAATCATGCCATTTGCTTTTATTGCTATAATTGACTTTATTTTACTTGTTTTATGTTTTGGTTCTTTCTATTTTCATGTTCTACCCTTTCTGGTTTCTTTCCTTCCTTTTCAGTTGTCTGAGGCATGAAATCTTCTGTCTTTCCAAACACTCTCTGATATTTCATTATTTTCCAATATTCTCCTTTGTTTTACACAGCATGTAAGGTACATCTGTCTGTCACAGATAAGGAGAAAATTGTATTTTCAAGTCTATTACCATTGAGAAAGGTGGCTTAACTGTGCTTCTTAAACTTGAGCAGATTTGAGAATCATCTAGAAAGGCGTTTACATCACAGATTGCTGGGTTCCACACAGGGATTCTGATTCCCTGGGTCTGGAGTGGAGTCTATGAATTCATCTTTCTTTTTTTTTTTCCTTTTTAAAGATTTTATTTATTTATTCATGAGAAACAGAGAGAGAAGCAGGCTCCCTCAGGGGAGCCCGATGCAGGACTTGATCCCAGGACCCCCGGATCGTGACCTGAGCCGAAGGCAGATGCTCAACCACTGAGCCACCCAGGAGCCCCAAGGATTTACATTTCTGATAAGTTGCTGCTGGTCTGGGGCGACACCGTGGGAAGGCCTGGTTTAACCTACCCTACCGTACCCTTCACCTATTCCTTCCTTCTCGTATTCTTACAATTCATTTTTAACACTGTAGAATGAACTTTGTCTCTTGCATTCAATTTCATAATGAGATTCACAACATTTTAAACTTGTTTCTAGTTTATCTGGTTTTAACATTGTAAGTCCTCCTGTGCTATGAATTCATTCCTCACAACTGGAGTGTATTCTATGAATTTTTTTGAAGATAGGTTCATAGGAAAAACTGTGTTTTCAAGCCCTCATTTTTCCCTTTACTTATAAATTACAATTTGTCTAAATATAAAATTCTTAGATTACAACCTTTTCCCTCCAAAATGTATTTCATTATCTTCTTGCATTTAGTAGTATACAGAGCCTGAGGCAAGTCCCCCTTGGATCCATCAGTTAGTAACTGGCTTTTCTTATGCCTAGATGCCTGCATATATTTATATTTTCCTTTATATTTAAGTTTTAAAAAGTCGCTAAGATCTACTGAATTATGGGTCTCTTTATATTGAGGTAGATGATAGCCCAATCCCGTCATCCCTTGACATATGACAAGCCCTTAAGTCTGCATACATGGGTCTGTGTTTAGCAAATGTTTCTTCTCTTGTGTCTGGAGTATCTGGAAATGGCTCCCCAGCCTCCATATTCAGCTTGTTTTCCCCTTGTTATCTTGATCTGTTCAGGTCTCTCCTGCCTGTAATTAGTTCCATTTCTGCAGATCAACTCTGCTCTTTACGATGCACAATGTAGGCTGTAACTATATTTTCTATTTCTCTGCAGTCCTTCACTCCTTTCTCTGCCTCTTTGTTTCATCCTGCTGCTCTGTCACCATAGAATTCAGGCTCCTCTTTCACAGGAGTCATGCTACGGACTGAACTGAGGCCCCACCCCCCAATTCAACTGTGGATGGGTGTCTGGAGATGGGACCTGTGGGAGGTAATTGGGTTGTGTTGGGGTCATGAGGGTGGGCCCCTCCTATCTGGATCAGTGCCCTTCTAACAAGAGACACCGCGAAGCCTGTTTGCACTGGTCTCCCACCATGTGAGAGCACAGCAGGGGGCCATTTGCAAGCCACAAGGAGGGTTCTCACCAGAACCTGACCAGGCTGGCACTTTGATCTCAGACTTCCAGCCTCCAGAACTGTGAGAAAATAAAGTTGTTTGTGCCATCCAGTCTGGTATTTTGTTGTGACAGTCCAAGCAGCCTAAGATAAGTCATACTTTCTTATGTTCAATTATGGTTGTCAAACAGAATTTTCTTCCAGATTATGTAGTAGGTCATTTTCAGGCGTATGCTTTTCCCTCTGAGTTTCCTAAATTCTGTCTTCTTATGTGGAATTTTTACAGTTTCATGCTTTTTTTTTTTTTAATTTAAAAAATTTCTCAAGTTACTCTTCCTTAGCCACATGTAAGAATCAAACTACAGATGAATCCACACTTATCGTTTTCAGTAGATAAGCGTGACCTGTCCTTGGGCCTCCCATTATCAGCGTAGACCACTACCACGGTAGTGATTCTCGGATCTACAGCTGGAGAGCAGGCTGACATGCAGGACCCCTGTGGCCAACTCTCTCCTTCTAGAAGGATTCCTTTGCTATCATGGCTCCAGCTTCCTTCTCCCTAAGTACCCAATTCTTCAATTTGCTCAGATGACGTGGATATGGAAGGTACACTTCCCAGCATGCACTGCTCCTGGGTTTTTTCCTCTTCCGAGACCCACAAAGCTCAACGTGTGGCAAAGTCCCTTCTTGGGGCTCTGTGCCTCCCATGGCTCCTCTTAACTCTATACTTTGTCATTTTTAGGGTTCTGTGACCTTGGCCTGGCTGAAACCCAAGACGTAGCATTCTTATCTCATAAGGCAGCTCCTGAGTGGTAACAGGAGATGCTCACACTATTTTAGCAATCTCAGTTCCATAATGTCAAGCTGGGAACATGCAGGGAGCCAAACCCAGTTCCGTTTTCTCAATATAATTCCCAACTGCTTATGGTGTGGGTCAATTCCTCCCAGGTCCTAGCACTGGTTATCTGTATGACTTAGTTACTGATGCACAAAACAAGTTTCATCTAGTTCTGTACTTTCCTGGGCAATAGGTACCACTTATTTAATGCCTTCCATGCATGTGTTAAGGACTACACTGACTCCTTTGCAAACATGACTTCATCCAATCTCCATGACAATCCTGAGAGGGGAGTTTTCTTGTCATCACCCGATTCTTGAGTTAAGAAAACTGTGGATTAGGGAGGTCATAAAGCATGTAGGGCGTTACATAGGTAGTAAGTGTAGAGCTGGGGTTCAGAGATGAGATGCTCTAAAGCTCCCACTCTTGGCCATCTCTTGGCTCACTCATTTGTTAGACCCTGAATACAAGCCAGGGGCTGGGCTAGTCCCTTCCAGCACACATCCTCCAATGAACTTACAGAGCAGAGAGATGTTCTTGTCCCCAACTTACGGATGAATCAAAGGACACTCAGAAGGAGGTAAGTAAACAGTGAACTGATGATGTCAGCATTCAAACCTGCGCCTGATTCTAATTCTAGTTTCATAATTATGATGTTATAGATGGAAGGGCAGTACTATCCTGGGGCAGGTGGTACTAAGACGGCAGGTCGCAGATTCTGCTGTCCCCGTCCCATGTCTGTCTGCGACTGTCCATCATAGAACATGTCTGGTTCACATGTGGGTTTCCCCACAGTTTAACTCTTAGCAGTCTTAGTATTGAGAACTTCATTTTTTTTTATAGAGAGGAAACAGGTCATACGCAGAGTAAACACATGATGAGCACTGTGCTAGCCACTTCCCAGATCCTGTTCCAGTTCCAGAGTGCTTCAGATTTCAAAGAAACCAACAAATCACCCTCTCCCACGAAAGAGGAAAGAGGGAGAAAAAGGAAGGGGGCAGTGGGGTAGAATGACGACCCAGTCAATGCCTTCCAAACATCAGGGCCAAGCTCCACCCCAAGGAGCATCTCCAGCTGGCTCTTTGAACCTCTCCATTTTTGTGCCCTGAGATTTCCTCATGCCTTCATTCAGTGTCTGTGTGATATTTTTGCAAGCTGCCTTAAATCCTTATTGTAATGAGAGTCAACAAAGGTCTTTTCTTGTGTGGTAAGCTTGGAGGGGGAATATGAGTCCCCAAGAGCTGGACTAGACACCTCTCAGGGCTGACTCCACCCCATCCCTTCTTCTAGAATCAGCCAAAATGGTCCTCCTAAAATGTCAATCTGAGCAAGTCCCTTCCCCACTTGGTAAATTCTCTAGCTCATTTCTCTCAGAGTGAAGTCAAGATGCCTTCCTCTGGCATTCAAGGCTCTCTAAGACCTGAACTCAGACCCTGATTTGCCTTTCAACTCCCTAGAACAAGCACTGTCTCTCCCACCTCCACCCTAGGAAGCAAGAGCTCATGCCCCACCCTGGGCCCCAGCGCAGAAGCCTCCCTGACTCCCAAGGTTGGTCAGGTGCCTCCCCAGCCCCCACGGCTCCCTGTGTTTCAGGTTATGCTGTGCTGACTTACTGTCCCCTCCCTGTGTGAAGTACCCAAGGGCAGGATCACAACCACCCCATCCACTGCTGTGTCCTCACCACATTCAACACAAGTGTGCTGAAAACAGGTAGGGAGCAAGCAGGTGTGGCTCCTGCCCGCAGGAGTTTAATGGACAAGGACAGAGTGTCAGCACGCGGCTCCCCCGGACGGCTTCATGTGCCGATGAACCCCTTCAATTGCAGATGACAACAAGCATTTATTTTCCGAGCACCTATTATGTACCAGGCACTGTGCTAACAGGTGATTTACATTCATGATCTCATTTAATCCCCCAACAAACCTTCGGGGAAATGTAGTCCTCATTGACAGCTGAGGAGCCGAGGCTCAGGACGGCTAACAGACTACCAGGGCACCAAGCATGTGCTACATCCACTGCCCTGACCTTGACCCTGTGCTTTTCTGCTCCTCCTCGAAAGCTGACCTCCTAAGACTGGCCCATTTGACAGGTGGGCAAAGTGAGGTATAAGGAAGCCAGGGGTCACCGGCCAGAACCCTGTTTGTGGGATGAGTGGAAGCCACCCCCCTCCAATGGCAAGCCGCCACCCTCCAGCCCAGCCCAGCCCTAGAAAGAGGCCCGCATACTTGGCCCGATTTTCTGGAATGGTTCCGGGGGTTCCTCCTTCACCTCGTCAGTGGCCACAACACCTTGGTCGAAGGGGTCTATGGGAGAACACACAGCCCTTAGCGCCCTGGTTACCAGGTCTTGGGAGCCCAGCCGGGGACAGGGAGGTGGGCAGTCACCAAGGACTTACCTGCCCGATTCTCAGGGGCCCCTTCCACACTGAATACTGTGCCCGGGCGGGAGGCAGTGGCCGCAGAAGGAAGGAAGCAAATAGGAGCCCCGTTAGTCCCTGCCCACAGCTGCCTCTGCCCAGCACTCCCAGCCTCCGGGACCCAGGAGAGCCCCCTTGGCCAACGTGAGCGCCCCAGAAAACCAGGGGCCACAGGAGGGCATATCCCAATCAGGATGCAGCCTGTGCCTCTGCTCATCATCCTCCCCGTGGGCGAGGGCCTAACCCGGAGGTGGGCAGAAGCTATCTGCCCGGCCTGTTTCTGAATCACTAACAGCCACTCGAGGGCCCAGGGCAGGGGAACAAGAGGAAGAGACCAGGAGGAGAAAAAGAGGACAAGCCAGTGACAATGGGTAGAGGGGGCCTGGTTGTCACAACCTGCGACGGGCCAGGGTGTGGGGCTAGAGAGGGAGCCACCTCCATCTTTTCCAGGTTCAAGACCCTATTTCTGGATTGAGATTCTAAAAATAAATTACCTAAATTTATTGTTCTAATTTCTAACAATATAACCCAAGACACTAAAATACCATCATTCATCTTAAAAAACTGGTTTAATTTCATCAGAGCATGTGACTACTCGGTATGAAATTGTAAAATGCATCGACATGAAATTGCTAAAATTCGACGGACTGACCTACAAAAAAATGGCAATTTCACTTGGGTTACCCTAACCCGCAGTATGTATGGGGACCTTCTCTCTCCCCAAATCCTCAAGGGTCGGCCACTCCCCTCATGGTCTGACTGCCACCTGACCTTCCTCAGGGGTGGGAGGAGAGAGAGGACACCTGGGGTGGAGGGGAGATGAGTGGCCCTGGCCAGGCGCAGGGGTGGAGGGTTGCAGGTGCCACTCCTCACGCGACTCTACTGGCTACAAGTGAGGGGCCTAACTCACCATCCACGGCGTGTAGGTCTCGGTGTTCCTGGAAACAGCTGTAGTACTTGTACTTCTTCCCACAGATGTCACACGTGTACCTGAAATTGTCTGCAGGGGATGCAAAGACACATGTAGTTACTGAGACTTGCGTCACTTGAGGTGGGGGTGGGGTTTCTTGAGGGGGAGGGCAGCTCGTCTGCCTCAGGAACCAAACACGGGACTATCCCACACTGGCCCCAACTGGTGACCCATGGACAATTGGTCCTGGGAGTGTTAGGTGTTTTCTACACCAGGGAGCTAAGGAGAGCCTCGAAGCAACTTTCAAACCAACCCCCAGTCCCACTCCTCGTGAGCCAAGTTCCTAAGGGCCCGGCCCCACCTCCCCTCTTGAGGTTACGGGAGAGTAACTATCACCGAAGCTACTGCTTCCTGGGCACTGCACGTGCGAGGTGCCGGGCCAGGCCCTTCCTCTGCCTTTCCTCCGTTAGTCCTTGTGACCGAACACGAAGTAGTAACCCATTTAACACACGTGAAGACTGAGGATCAGGAGAGACCTGTCCCAAGCCACACAGCTACGAGGGCCTGTGATGAGCAGCTTCCCAATAACCCTGGCCTTCCGGCATTCACGTCCTGGGCGATCCCCTCCCCTTGACCCTGAGCAGGATCTACCGACTTGCTCCTAAGGGAAGAGAATGCGAGAAAGCGATGGGATGTCACTTCTGAGAGTAGGTTACAAAAGATCGTGACTCTCGTCTCGCTCACATGAGCTGCCCCACGGAGCGTGCCATATGGCAGCAGCTGGTGCACAGCCAGTGGGCACGGAGGCCCTCGGCCCCACAGCCTGGGAAGCACCCATCCTAACAGCCACGTGACTGAGTGAGCATGGAAGCAGCTCCTTCCCCGGCTGAGCCTTGAGAGGAGAGACCGCAGCCTGGCCAACACGTCCCCTGCCCGGAGACCCCCAGCCAAAGGCTCCGGTGAAGCCACATCCAAGTTCTGACCACACAAGCCGAGATAACCAATGTTGGTTTAAGTCATTCAGTTCTGGGGAAATGTGTTAAAGGCAATAGATGATGAATAGAGGGCCAGAGTGTGGACGATCCCTCTACCCAAATTCCGAGGCTGGACTCATGCAGGACATGGCTCTCACCACGCACCAGCATGGACCCCCTGTGTGTATCCCTTGGGCAGATCTAGGGATGGCCCATCCGCCCCGTCTTCCTGATATGGCCCAGCACAGGGACACTGAGTGGCTGTGCACTGGGATGAGGAGCCTTGGCTAAGATTCCGATATTCACTTAACTCCAAGCCATAGCTAAGTGAGGGCACATGGCCCCCTGTCTGCATAAGACACCTTCCACTCCCGACTCAGGCAACAGCCTTCTGGCCCTTCTGCTCCCCAGCAAATACAGGATGTGATGAGACTCTCTCCATCCCGAAGCTGCAAGGCCAGGCGATTCTATGGGAAGGTTTCTGGCCCCTGTTTAGCTGAACTTGGGGGCACAGATGACACCAGCCATCTCCTTGCCTCTGCCCCCACTGCTTCCACTGCACCTGCAGTCTCTCAAAGTACCCTGGCAGATGCCAAGGCCACAGAGACTAACTGGTCCCCAAGCGAGGCACACACAGTCATTCGGAGGGTCTGGGGACCAGGCATGCCACCATCCATCCCACCACGGCCTACCATCTCCATGCTCACACCTGAACCAGGCAGGCAGTGGTGGTGGGAGGCGGTGGGGCGTGGACAAGGAGAGACCTGTTCCTGCTCTGTCTCACCCAGACTGCCAGCAAGTGCTCACCCCACCTCGGGATTCACCTTCCCTTCTCTTCCCCCTAACTGGAGGGAACAGGTGGGTGGTAATGAGCGGATTGCCGGGGCCTCTCCCAGGCTGGCCATGGCAGGATTCCAAGCCTGGCTCAAGCTTCAATCCAGTCCAGACAATAACCTCTCCCTCACCCCCATCCATCGCCCCATCGTGTCCCATCTGGACCATAATTGTCTCTCTCGGTGCTAGATACCAGGCAACACAGGTTTGAAGAAGTCAAGGCCATCCAGGGTCTGGTTCCAGACGGAGCCCGGTCCCTGAAATCCCTCTCCCCCACTAGCCAGTGCCGGTCGCCCCCCACAGCTGCTGGCAGCACACCTCACCTCTGCTCACACAGCCCTCCCACCACTTCCAATAAAACGAGAACTCCCAGCTCTCTGACACTGAGAAGCTCTGCTGAATCCACTACTTCTTCTCAGTGCAGGTGGGGACCACACTCCTGGACCCACCCAAGGCAGCGTAGATTAGAGCAAGGAGTTCTCGCCGAAGGAAGAAAGGCAAAACAGTTTTCTGTCAGTGAAACCACGTTTTCAGAACCTCCATGAGAGCCCAGGAATGGCACTGCGAATCCAGCCAGGGAGAGGGGCTCTGCAGTCAGACTGCCTGACCCCAACCCGGCTCGGCCACCCTCCAGCGTGACTAACGCAGAACACACTCCCTCACCTCTACCCCCTTGGTCTTCTCATCTGCAAAATGGGGATGACAGTTCCTTCATCTCCCACCCAGACTTGTAATAAAGAAGGAGCAAGCACAATGCCTAATGGACAGCAAATACTTGGTAAATGTTACCTAACGTTGTTTTGGAAAGAGAATCGATGGGACAGCAGCAAGAGAACTGGACAAGGAGTTAATCTTTTATTTTCTTAGCCAAGAGCTGGGTGAGTGGGTATATGCCTCCATTTCTGACTGTACAGGTTTTTTTTTAAATTTTCATTTATTTATGATAGAGAGAGAGAGAGAGAGAGAGACAGGCAGAGGGAGAAGCAGGCTCCATGCACTGGGAGCCCGACATGGGATTCGATTCCGGGTCTCCCGAATCATGCCCTGGGCCAAAGGCGGGCGCCAAACCGCTGCGCCACCCAGGGATCCCAATTTTTTTTTATTTATTTACGATAGTCATACAGAGAGAGAGAGAGAGAGAGAGAGAGAGAGAGAGAGAGGCAGAGACACAGGCAGAGGGAGAAGCAGGCTCCATGCACCGGGAGCCTGACGTGGGATTCGATCCCGGGTCTCCAGGATCGTGCCCTGGGCCAAAGGCAGGCGCCAAACCGCTGCACCACCCAGGGATCCCCTGTACAGTTTTTCTAACAACTAAATGGAAGAGCCCTGGACTAGAAGGCGTGAGGCCTGGTTTCTATGCCCACCTCCACCACTAACAGGTTGCAGTGAGTTCTCTCTGGGACTCAGTGTCCTCATCTGCAAAATGGGTAAGCTGGACTTGGTATTCTCGACACAGTGCTCTTGGCTCCGGAGCTCCATAGTCAGGCTCCTGCCCCGAGGCTGGTGTGTGAGGACGCCCGGCTTTCTGCGCAGGCACTGCAGGCTTGGGTCGGGGTCGGGGTGTGCAGGGATGAAAATAAACTAAGGCACAGTGGCCGTGGGGAGAAAACTCCCTGGGGAGGAAAGCGAAAGTGATGGAAAGACTATAAATACCCCCAGCTACAGAGTCTTCAACAGCCAATGGGACTCTGGGAACTGTGGAAGCCAGAGGGAACACAATGGATCATTGAGGGGCAGCCGGAGAGGCCAGGGGCCCAGAATAGCCAAGGAAGGAAAGATCAACAGAGAAGATCTTTAAATGTGTGGCTGACCACAGGCAGACCATGGGAGCCGGAAGAGGAGGAAGCCTCTGCAGGGGCCGGGAGGCAGGGGCCAGGCTGGGACAGGGCCCGAGAGGAGGGACAGGCCAGCACGGCCTCCTAGCCATGGTCCTCCGGCAGGGGTCTGGCCTACCTGAGCCTCCGAATGTCTAGAAAGCAGAGGCTCAGCCTTGGCCCTGCCTGCCTCTCGCGTGACGTGCGAATCCAATGAGAGTGGCTGGGCAAGGACCTCAGAAGAAATGCTTTTAGGACCAAGTGCAATTAAGGCCCTGTTTTATCCCACACACCTCCTCAACCTGCTTTGTTTTGGATTTTTTTGGGGGGTGGGGGTGGGGGTGGGAGTCATGTTTATTATTTTTAAAAACCTTTTATGGCAGGAGGAACAGGGGTTGACAAACAATGGCCTGCCCACTGCTTTGGTGAAAAATTCATTTCCGTATCACGCCTCTGGCTGGGTTCGTGCTACTGAGCAGTGCTGGGTGGAGGGGACAAAGAATCTGGCCTACAGGGTCTCAAGTATTTGCTATCTGGGCCCTACAAAAGCGTTCTGCTGGCCCTGATGCAGAGAACTGTTCAGCTCCTTCGGTTTTCATAAACCAAAATCACCTGTGTCATCCGCACCCAGACACCCCTTCCCAAGGGGAACCACGATTTCCTCCAGCAGGAATCCCTTCCCCGATTTCATACTTCCTGTACGCAGATCTCAGAGGAGGGGCGCCCACGTCGGGCTTCTTCTGCTAATGTTCTGTTTGTGGGTATTCCACGTTCCTGGGGGCATCCCTACGTCATTCCTCCAAACTGCTTCGCATGAACACATGACTGATCTGTCCATTCATTCGCCTAGCGCTGGGCACTCGGGTGATTGCCAGCTTGGGGCTGTCACAAACAGGGCCGCTAAGAGTATCCTAGTACCCGGGGCTCCCGGGTGGCTCAGTCAGCTGGGCATCTGCCTTCGGTTCAGGTCATGATCTCAGGGTCCTGGGATGGAGCCCTGCGATGGGCTCCTGGCTCCCTGCTGAGCAGGGAGTCCGCTTCTCTCTGCGCCTTCCCCCTTGCTCATGCCATCCCTCTCTCTCAAATAAATGAAATCTTTTTTAAAAAATGAAATAAACTAATATCCTGGTTTCCATCTTTCGGTGGACATGCACACACGGTTCTGTTGGGGATACACGTGGGAGTGGAACGGCTCGGTTCTGGAGCTCCGGTTCCAGAGGTTGGGCGGGGAGAGGTTCTATCCCAGCCTCCGCCCATCTGGCTGCTTCGGAGGCCCACGGGTTTAGCTCTGGGGGCAGGGCAAGCAGGCCACGTGAACAGCAAAACAGTGTCCTCAGACGGTAAGGCCCTGTGCGGCGCAGGCGCTGGGGTAGCGCGCCCAGAGATGAGCGCCCAAGGGTGCCCACGAGAGACCTCTCGGAAGCAGCATTTCCCAAACATCAGCTATGAGGCCCCAGATCCAACCATGAGTGGGAGTCAAGATGCACACACTGGGTTTGCCAGGGAAGGGCCCTGAGAAGTCCACCACAGGGAAACCTGGGGACTCAGCAGAACTCGAGGCTTCCCGGGGCTACCTGGCCAGAGGTCCCGCTACCGACAGAGCACCTGTCAGCTTCCCCAGGATGTGTGCCACCAACACACTTTGGGAAAGGCTGCTCTGAGGTACCACGCTACAATTTCATAAAGACCCTCTGGCCCCAAAGCCTGAGCCACAGCAAAGTGTCTCCCACAGCCCTCTGGGGCAGTCCTGAGGGCGACAAGAGCAAGGGAAAAATACTCACTGCCTTGGGAGGCGCCCTCCCCTGAGGTGGCTTCGGTGTCTGCAAGAGAGAGAAAATGAGAAGGAAGTGAGCGGGCTGGACCCGTGGCTGGGCCGGCGCCAAGGAGTGGGGGCAGGCGGGGGGCAGGTGGGGAGCCCACCACCACGTGTCCGTTGCACGCAGCCTCACAGCCTTTCCCCGAGGGCCCCTGCTGCCGGCCCGACCCATCGCCCTTCCTCCCGGGCACTATCTGTCCCCTTAGCCTCCCCATCTTCAGAAGAGAGACAGCGCCCCGCTCCCACTCCCGGGGCTGCCACGAGGTGCACACGAGATGACAGGTGAGCACCTTCCCTGCAGGGGCCGCTCACACGAGGTGGCTCTGATGTACCCTGGGAGGAAGCGGGCCCGTGTGGGGGGCAGAAGCCTGGTGCACGTCCTCCTGCCAGCCCCTGTGTGCTCTCCCAAGTTAAGCAGGCCTCTTCTCTCTGCCTGGGTCTCCATCCTACTGCAGAAAGGGGGAGAGGACCGGAGCTCTGGGGGGTGGGGGGGCCCTGGGGTCATCCACAAGCTGGCAGAGAATGGGGCGCTGCAGCCCTCAGCTCTGCCCCGGGGACGCCACTCACCTCGGTGTGCCCGTACGTGGGTCTGGAAACAGTTGTAATACTTGTACTTCTTGCCACAGATTCCACACTCATAGGATCCTGAAACACAGGAAAGGAGGGGACAGGTCAGGTGGTACCCAGCACGTGCCAACGGTGAGGTCCCAGGACCCGCAGTGATGCCCCCAAGTGTCAGGAACTCCATGACAAGGGCCCAGGGGTCATCCAGGGGGCGGTCTCGTCCCCAGCAAGGAGAGAGGCAGCGAGGACCAGCAGACACAGCCCTGAGCTGGAAGTCAGGAGCACGGGGATCTAGGTCCAAGTTTTGGCCCCAACTCTCTAAAGTGACCTCAGGCGAGTCACTTCCCATCTCTGGGCCTGAATTTCCGAAACTGCAAGATGGAGAAGGCGACTCTTTCTTACACTTATTCCTTGAGAGGAAAAAGGAACGTAAAAGTGCTCTTCCAAAATAAGGAATAAACTGCATCCATGAGGAAATCGACATCCATTCCAGTAACTTCTACGTCTCCTCCTTGCCAGGACAGGACGGAGGTAAGGAGGGCTCTCCCATCAGATGGATCTGATCCCTGTCCCTGTTCTGCCGCTTACCAGCATCACGCCCTATGTGACTCCCTTAGACACATTAAGCCTCAGTCTGCTCATCTGTCAAATGGGGCAATAAGCACCTGCCTCACAGGCATGGCCCTATATTCCCCCTAGGAAGTGCCCAGCTCTATCAGAGATGAGCCCTACAAGGAAAGCACTGCCCCCCCAGTCTGCTGAGAAGCTTTCCTGTTCTCTCAGCCATGCAGACAGCACCATGGTGTAACCGTCCAGCTCCTCCAGTCCTCCGCGGACCCTTCTCCCAGGAGCTGGGACTGAAATCGTGGAGTTCCCACTAGACATCTCAGACAGGTCAGGGCGGAGCCCGCCCATGCACAGCACACACGGAAGGCAGGCTCACGGCAGGAAGTCAGGCACAGGCCATCACACCCGGCCTGGCAGGCTCCCAGGCAGAGGCCAGCTCATCCCTCACATGGGCCCACTACCACCAGGGCTGCATCCTTCCCAACAGAACGGCCTGGAAGCTCACGCCAATACAGAGGCCCTGGCCCCACGCCTGGAATGGCTGCAGCTAGGGCCTAGAAATCGGCCTTTTCCAAAGGGATCCTCAGGGGATTCCAATGCCCAGCAACCATGTAGGGGAACTATTGGTTTGAGAGCAAGAGCAAGACAGACCTGGGAGAGGATCTCCGCTCTACCATTTACTGGCTGGGCCTCAGTTTCCTTATGGGAAAGATCTGGATAACGCAACAGCATCCACGGGAAGGCTGAACGAAGCATGAGCAGACCTCCTGCCACCCGCCCAGGTGCTCAGTGAGTGTGGGCATCACCAGCTATTCCCGCCTTCAGCCTCACCTGGGGGTAGGGGGGCAGAGGCCTGTTTCCTGGGTGCAAGCTCCTGGCTTCTGATGAAGTCTGAGGAGCACTGCCCTTGGAGTCTATGAGCTTAGCCCTGCCACTGCCCCCGGCTGACCTCAGGCACCTCCCCTTGCTGGTCCGAGCCTCGGCAGCCTCACCTGTAGCACAGGATGACGATTCCTACGCCTCGTGGGACCGAGGGCAGGGTTAACAAGGCACATCATCTGAGCCGGCCGCCACACAGGTGGCCTTGCCACAACCTGACCGCTGTGGGTCATAAAGCAGACACTGTCATCCCAACACCAGCGTGGAGCCCAGCAGGCTGCTGGCCAGGAGTTTTATGTGTGCTACCCTCGCCTCACAGAGGAAAATATAAACACGGGGAGGGCAAAGCTCAGACTGTGCATTTCTTTTGCCTTTAGCCCCGTGGTTGGCACACAACGGGGGCTGGATAAATTCACGGTGTCCCGCTGCCCTATTCATCTGTCACCCAGGCACAGTGACCCCGACCCCTTTCCTGTGCCTCTTCCCACTCTTCAATGGTTTCTGCCAATTTGCCTTCAACCGACGGAGAATTTATGGAGCATCTCCACGGTGCCTGGCACCGAAGCCCAACCAAGGGCAAGTCCATGAGCGATCGCCGCCCTCTGTCTGACAGGAAGTAGACAGGCCACTAGGCAAAGGGACGGGCAGGGTGACGGGGTCACGACAGTGAAGTACAGAACCTGGCGGGCACCGTGCAGGCCCCTGACACGGCCACAGCTATGGGCGGAAGTCGGGGGGAGAAGAGGCAGGAGAGGCAAGAGAAAGGGGTGGACGGAGGGGAGGGCGCCCCAGGAAGGTAGACTCTCTCCCCAGAAGCCTGAGGCCACAGCCTGTGACAAGCAGCACTGGTTCAGCTCCGACCCACTTCCAGATGGAAGCCTCGGGGCACCAGCCCCGCCCCTCTCTGCCTCGGACCTGGGCCTCTGTTTCTCCAACCGCCATCAATGAGCTAAGGGCCTTCTCAAGGTGCGTAACTGCAGGCTGCATGGGTCCCCCGCTTGCCCGCCCCGTGATCCTGTTTATAAGCAGGTCAGGTTCCCACCGGCTCTGCGGGATCTGCCCTCAACCCACAGAGCGAGCAGATGATCCCTGAAGCCTTGCTCACGGATCTCAACCCACATAGAGAGTCACAGGGGGGCATGATGGTCAGCCTTGTGCCCTCTGCTGGCTCCCCAGGGCAGAGTGGTGGCCCTGGCTCAGGGTACGGAGTCTCGGGACAGAGTCCAAGGTCCTGCCTGCCTCCTCACGGCCACTCACCCTAAGGCCCCAGGCTTCAGGTGCTCTGTGTGCAGAGGAGCTGGACATGCAGGTAGCTGGGGGCAGGGGCGTGGGGAGAGCACACCAGGGTGGCAGCCCCGGGGTGCAGTGGTGTCAGCACATCTGGCTCTAAACCCTGGCTCACCGTCTAAGCAGTCAAGGGCCTGGGACAAGTCATGGAAACATTCATGCCTCAGGCTGCCTCTCTAAACATAGGAAATGGCACCCACTTCGGGGGTGGGGGCGGGCGGGGGACAGTCGTGAGCAATAACACTGTGGCTACTGAGCACAGCACCTCGTACAAAGCAGGCAATTGGTACAGCATAGCTGCTGGCACTACCAGCATTTTCCGGAGTTCTTTAGAAGCCAACTTTTAAGCCAAGCTCTTCCACCACACTTGGCCACAGAACTCCTTTACGCCCTCGGCTTGTTTCAGGGTTGCAGCCCGCAGCAGGTGCTGCCTGAACAGTCCCGACGTTCCAGACTTCTCAATCCCCACATGCTCTACCATCCCTCCAATGGCCAAGTCTTCCAGGCCCCTGGCAGGCTCAGACCGGCTGCCCTGTGACGGTGGCGGGGTGGACAAGGGCGCCCCCCCCCATGGGCCCGCAGACACTAGCAGGCTAGGCTCATCGCGGGGGCCACAGGTCAGGGCTGCGTCCAGCCGAGCCCCCACCCTACTGTTGGCCCCGGTCAGGTCCTCCTGTCCCTCGGCCCTCATGTACCAGATGCATATCTCAACGCTTGGTCAAAAATCCAGGTCCCTGAATAGCGGCTTCGCACAGATCCACCGTGGGGGCTGCCTTTGGGCGCTTTTCCATCTGAATTACGTAAGAAATCAGAAAGAGCCCTTAAAAGCTGGGGGTGTCTGGGAGGCTGGGGAAGGAGCCAGGTGAGGGAGGGTGCTCCATGCCTCAGGCTGGCCGGTCACCTGAGCTTCCGGAGCCCTGGCCTCTCATCTGCACACAGAAGGGTGACCAAGATCATGCGGTCTACTTTTTCATTAAAGAACTTGTCCTGGGATGCGTAGGTGGCTCAGCAGTTGAGCATCCACCTTTGGCTCAGGGTATGATCCTGGAGTCCCAGGATTGAGTCCCACGTCGGGCTTCCTGTATGGAACCTGCTTCTCTCTCTGCCTGTGTCTCTCATGACTAAATAAATAAAATCTTAAAAAAAAAAAAAAAAGAACTTGTCTTGGCCAGGGGGCATCCACACATCCCCTAAGAGGCTGGGACAGGGCAAAAAGCAGCAGCCACGGGCCTAAATCCCACCTAAGCTTTTTGTTTTCTCTGTAATTCTACCTTGTAACACAAATACCACATAAAATCACCTATAATAAGGCTATAATATTTCTCCCCAAAGGGCCCTGCAGCAAAATGACCCTATAGGGAGGACATGCCTGTCTATGCTGTGGCCCTGTGTCCCCCCCACCCCGCCCCAGCCACAGCCACTGCATAGCCCAGTGCAGTGCAGGGGGTGCTAGCGAGACTTCCTGGGGATTCTCAGCTCAGACAGTCCAGTCCCCACTGCTGACCGGGTAGGGCTCCCCCATTACCCATGTCCTTTGTCGCCACTGCTGCCTACTAAGAGCCAGGTGCTGTGATGCCCTTCATTCGAGCCTCTCATGTGTGTCTGCACAAGGCTGTCCCCCGAGCCCGCTGCACAGGTGAGGTGTGCAGCCACTTGGCCAGCTCAGCTCACCCTCATATGCTCAGCAGACACAGGCGATTATCACGCCCACTTTTCAGATGAGGGAAGTAAGGGCCGCGGTCACCCGGAGCCTGTGTGTGTGGCCACCACCCGTCTGGGAAAGTACCAAGGAAAGATGGTGCTCATTAACATTGACCATTCGCTGGGGGCACCCAGGTCTCGCTCCTGTCCTCCCTCCTCTCAGAAGTCCTCGTGTGCTTGGGACAGCTCAATACGCACTGATGAGCGGGAATGTTCTAGGGGTCAGACGGTCCGGGGTTGGGGCTCCTCAGCTAGTGGCTGGCCACCCTTCAGAGCCATCCTACTGCCACTGCACCAAGTCACCCCTTCAGTCACAGGACTTCCCTAGCGCTGCAGGGCAGCAGAGGTCCCTCCCCCATGTCCAGTCCTACCACAGGACTCCCAGAGTCCCCTGCCCCTCTCACGGTTGCCAGGGGCAGCTGACAGAGCATGCCAGCACACGGGAGCCAAGCTCTTCCTCTCCTAACCCCATCACTAGCGACAGAAGAATCCACAGGCATGGAGTAACAGAACCTGTCTAGCATTTTCTGGAAAGCACCTGGCAGACAGCCTGGCTTAGCTCCCTCCCGGAGAGCTCGGGACAGACCAGGTGAGGCCAGCTGGGACCAGGGGGCTCTAGTTCCTGAGGCCATGGAGGGAAGCAGCAG